AATCTATTTCGAAGATGGGTTTTCTTCTACTACTAGTGAAGAATTTCTTCTTCTTTCCATCAAACTTGACACCATTCTTGTTTAGCTTCTTGAGCATCTTGGTGGTTCTTCTCATCATGAGAGCAAGGCTTGCATCATTAATCTCATCATCACTTGAGATATCATGATCAACTTTTGCTTTGCCCCTCTTCTCTTGGCTAGCCTTGAATGCCAAATCTTTCTTCTTGGTGGAAGAAGAGTCATCTTGTGATGTGATGTGCATGTACATCTCATGTGCATTGATCTTCCCCAATATTTGAGTTGGCGTAGCGGTGGAAAGATCACCTCGATGAAGCACTATCACAATATGCCCATATTTATCAATGGGGAGGACACTCAAGGTCTTTCTCACAACATTGGATGGTTGCATTTGAGTGAGTCCAAACCCATTGACCTCCTCTACAAGAACATTCAAGCATGAATACATTTCATTAGCACTTTCACTAGAAAACATTTCAAATGAATTAAGCTTCTTTATCACACGGTGATAGCGTTCCTCACACTCACTATTGGTTCCCTCATGGAGCGCACAAATGTCCGACCATAGTGAATGGTCGTCTTTGTGGTTCCACACACGGTTAAAGACATCCTTGTAAAGACCTCTAAAAAGGGTGTTTCTAGCCTTTGCATTCCACTTCTCGTAGTGAACTTCATCACCTTGAAGGTTGGCGGGATCCTTAGGTTTTGGGAAGCCTTGTGAGGCGGCTCTAAGCACTCCAACATCTAAAGCCTCTAGGTACGCCTCCATGCGAATTTTCTAATAAGGAAAATCATCTCCCTCAAAGACGGGAGGGGTCCATCCCCGTGGGACATCTTGCTCTAGGTGGTTAAGCCTAATTTAAGGAGCATGAGGCTATGATACCAATTGAAATGATCAAGATGCCCAAGAGGGGAGTGAATTGGGCTAATTCTAAATTTCTTGCAATGATTAAGCCCTACACTTAGCCCATTTCACCCCCTTGTGTCTAGAAGTGTTTCTATTGTTCTACCGTACAAACGTTTTACACCCTAGGTTCCAATCCTAATCTAGCATAGCAATTCTAAGAATGTAAAGACATGAATTGAATTGCTCAAATGTAAATGCTCAAATTAAGAGAAGGAGAGGAACGTGGCGATGTTTTTCCAAGGTATCAGAGAGTCATCATTCCCCACTAGTCCTCGTTGGAGCACCTGCGCAAGGGTGTAGCCCCCCTTGATCCGCGCAAGGATCAAGTGCTCTCTACGGGCTGATTCTTTGACACTCCGTCGTGGTGAATCGCCCACAACCGCTCACACCATGACTTGGGTCATCCACAAGCTCCGCCGAATGATCACCAAGCTTTCAATCACCACAGAACCGTCTAGGTGATAGCGATCACCAAGAGTAACAAGCACAAACTCTTACTTAACCAAGACAAGCCTAAAGAGAAAGGTGGATGCACACTTGCTACTCCCTATGCACTAATGAGGTCCTTAATCTTGGATTCTCAAAAATCTCAATCACCCCACTAGGCACTTGCTCCCCCTTGCACTCCAAAGGTGTTTCTCAGCTGAACAAATGGGCAAGAGAGCTAAGTTGGACGAGTAGAAGAAGTATTTATACTACCCCACTTCAAAACATACCCATTGGGGTCCAACTCAACATTTTCGTGGTGATCGGACGCTCAGGTCAAAGTGGCCAGACGCGTCCGGCCTGTAGCCAACGGCTACATGGCGTCATCATGTCAGAGGAGGCCATTAGAGAGACTGAACCCACTGCAGCGTCCGATCCACCTAGACCTGACGCGTCTGGTCCACAAATTTCCTCTCTGGATGCTTATTGTTGTTGACTGGACGCGGCCTCTAGTGCGTCAGGTCACAACGTTCTCAGTGTCTGGTCCTTCGTGAGTGTTGCGCGCTCTCTGCTACAGTTGCGCACACGTGCGCATCTGATCTTGATTAGGAGCCAGAGTCCGGTCCTCCTTCTGCCCCAGCAGCGCGCGCCAACAACTGACCAAACTCACCCTGACCGAGTGCGGTCAGAGCATCACTAGCGTTCGGTCATTAATTTAACCCTCTAATCACATCCAATTCGAAATCCTTCATGAATGAAATTGACTTCCGACGATCTTTGGGCTATCTCTGAGCTACCTAGTGCTAAGTTTGACAAGTGTACACCACACCTAAACCATTAGACTCACCTAGGTCAAGCTACTAGTTCATACCCCCTTTAATAGTATGGCCAAAGGAAAAAACAAAGTCTTAAAACTAGTCTAAGTGTCTCTCCAACGCCAAACGATACTTAGAACTAGTCCGTCCTTAACCTTATCATCCATCCTTTGAAAATCAAAACGATTTCCATCGATAGGGGCATGAAAACCATAGTTGCCCAATCAATTACCATTACCATGACCTAACTCAAATTGAATCTACAAAACACACATTAGTCACAATAAGCTCATGTCATCATTAATCACCGAAACCCAACTAGAGGCCTAAATGCTTTCACCCCGATAACCGAGCACCCCCATCATACTAGGGATGGGCGCCACGAAGGGCATCACGTTCTTGTTGGTGGAAGTGAACCCCGCTAAGGCATGCTCGGTCACCAAAAGGTCGAGTTTAGCCCTTCGTCACCATAACGTATCTCACCAAGTAAGGCCACAAAGGGCTCGGGGGCTCCTGATGAGATCCTAACATATGGGTATGTTAAGTCTCAGGATCAAGGGTTCCCGACCGATAGACCCCCTGACTGATTCCCCCAGGATCGCCCGAGGGCTCGGGGGCTATACCCATCAGGTATGCTCGCGCGCACCCTCAGGTCTGGATCAGCCCGAGCCCGAGCAAGCCCGCCGCCTCTGCTCGAGGCTCGGGTGCTCGCCCGAGCCCTATGCTCCTGATTGACGGAGGCTTAGAGCCGATCCTTGGCTTCCTCCCGGCCTTAGGCGCCAGCCAAGGCCCGGGCACAAGAAGACAAGTCCCGAGCTACTAAGGCTCAAGGGCTCCCCTACACTGCCCCTTGGAAGCGGCTCTGCTAACTGCTCCCCCGACAGGGTTACGCACGAGGCATGACACAAGAAGACAAGTTCCTTCGCAGCCTCCAAGGGCTCGGGGGCTCCCAGTTCATGCATCAGCCCCTCGAGCCAACCTTCATCGCCACCACGAAACCTCCATAAGGCACACCTGGGGAAGGTCGGTCCAAGCTGACACAGCCTGACACCCAATGTGTTAGAACAGAGCAGCCGGACGACGCCTTGGGCTTCTTCAGCTCCACGATATCGCCACGGTCCACAGAGCGCCGCTGCAAGACCCTCCTGAACTCTGGCACATGTAGACCATAGACTCAAACCCCCAAACCGCCATGTACCCGACCTATCTCAGAATATAAGGGATAGGTCGGATCCTTGGAGGGGGGAAGACGATTTCAGACAGATCATTCCACTCATCAATCCGCCTAAGCTCTGCACCGAGAGCAGAGCAACTGAAAAAGGGGCACCGAGAGCTCCTCCACAACACCCATCGTATTCCTCCTCTCCAACGAAGGGAAGGCTCCACCGGCGACGAGGCGACCTAAGGATCCGCCCGAGCGATCCCCCTACCAAATCTCTTTCTGTACACTCTATTATAACCCCCGATTTTAGGTGCTCTTAAGTAGAAGGATCATCAACTGCTAAACGTATGGCACCGATTGGCCCGAACCAAGATAAACCGTTGCGTCCCCACTGTGATTCTTATGTTCTTGAGTTCACCTGAGCCCCTGGAGACACATACTCTGACACCACCTCGAACAACAATGCTTGCCGCGGTTTCGACCCCACGACACCAACCTTTTAATGTAGTCACAGTGAAGAATAAGTACCCTCTTCCAAGAATTAATATATTATTTGATCAACTCAATGGGGCTAAGTTCTCACAAATTGACTTGAGGTACCCATATCACCAAATCTGGATAAGGCATGAAAACATACAAAAAAAATAGTTGAAAAATAACAACAAAAAATATAGATGATATTTCAACTCCGAAACCTTTGGCCTTTTATCAAAAAATAACTGCAGTAGATTACAAGGAAACAAAAATTAAAATCGGTTCCAATGAATAGAACTCATAATTTCCAATAACATGCCAAAGATTGGTATAGGTTCTAATGGCATGTAAAGAATTTTCTCAGGTACCAATGAATTCAACTCATAATTTCCAATGACAGGTCAAAGATTGGTGTATAGGTTTTATTGTCATATAACCATTTTTCTCCATATAATACTCCCAAATAGAAGTAACCAATAGTGATAGGATGTACCACATCTAAACCATCCATGTAAAGCTCCAGAGTACAAACAATTCAGATCCACTTTATACACTAATGACATGTTTGATTTAACAGTTGGTCCCATGTGGCACAGGGTCAATTTCACATGAGTCCATTCAATGAAGTTTTGCTTGCAGAACCAACAGGCTCCACTTGATGCTGCAAACCATACGCGCCGCCGTAAGTGAACCACATGTTACGGCCAACCTATTTACAATGTTGATCTAACACCACCCTCAACAACCAAGCTAAGATTAAACCCTAACAACCTCACAGCAATATACACAATGGTCACTATATACTAAATCCAAATTATGTGCTGTAAATTCGATTGTAACAGTTCAATAGTCATGTGATGATTAAAATTCCCTAAAGTCCATAAATGATACTTCATACATGGCTCATACAGTTGAGGGCGCGGCAAAGCCTACCATCCATGGACAAGACAACCAATTTAAACTAACCGCATTTCAAGACAAAATTAGTCCTGAAATTCAAAAACTGAAACCTACATCCCTTCCCACTCGTCCAACCCCGGCTGACACGAGGTTGACCGTGTCCAGGACCAAGAAATAGGGAAACACTATGCTTTGACTTCTTGTTGCCACCATAGTTGCATCAAATGTTTAGAGGACATACACTAGTATAACATAGGGAACTCTGATACTACTACTATAACATAGGGAAGAAGGGTAGTTAGTGCAGCCATGGAGACAAACTATTCTGGCCAAAGATGTCCGGAATACTGTCCCAGTTCCCCTTCTCCCTCGCTTCCCAGTATCCACCCATGTAGCGGTAACTGTCGTCATCATCCTTCTTAAACCACCTTGGTCTCCATCCTTTTTCTTGCAGTTGTCGAGCCTGCAAAGTATACCATGAGAGGTAAAGCACCAGGATGAGCAAAAAGAATACTGGTCAGGGATGAGCTTGAATACCCAACTAAGATTTTTGTTCACCACTAATGTGAATGTTTATGTAACCATTAGATTGTGCCTTGTAACATGCTGCAGTAGCAAACTGTCCATCCATCCCTACCCTCCTAATTCCGTGAAATGGAAGAGTCTAGTTACCAGCTACATATCAGAAACAGGTATTTTAAATTTATAAATTAATTTCTAAGCAAGTCAGTCCATACTAAAAACAATTACTTAATTTGATCTTCTGTTCTACCTATTCCAGGTGATCACATCTAGTTGTACGATAATGAGCTCATTTTTTATAAACGATAACGAACTACAGTTGTGTTGTATCCACAGATCCAGTACTGCACCAATTTTCTATTTGCTTACACTTACATGGTGATCATCAGTCCAAGACGATTCATGCTGACATAATTCAGATAGAAAAGCTTCACAACCAAGGGGGCATTAGACCCACATTGCATTTCCTAACAACTTTATTTATGAGATGAACAGATAAATATTATCAAGACATGTCAATTGTTATCATTGCCTGACAACCTATGAAAGACACAAGACAAAAGGCCATGTCAAGTCATATATAATTGTTGGTTACCTGCCGTTGCAGTTGTTCAAGCCTAAGTTTCTCTGCATTTGCCATCTCATATTCACCATTTTCCAGATGCCTTTGGTCTGGTCTCAAACGAGAATCAGTAGGAGCCAACTTGTTCAACAAATGTGGTGTCAATTCATTTAGAGAAATTGCAAAAGGAGAAAGATTGTAACGTGTCTGATTAAGAGACTTGTCTCTCTCCCATAAAAGAACTGCTTCTGACATTGGGTCATACCCCTTGGGTTTAACACTTGGATCCCCAAGGACATAATACATAGCTTCATCCCATTTTCCAATTAACATAGCTACTTTTTGCCCTGTTCTATTATCTTGCACAAATCCATGCACCTGCACAAATGATTAGAACAATTTAAGTGTCAAAACCTATGCTTGATCAAATAGATATTCAAATGCCTGTACAGCTGCAAATAGACTGCTGCTAACTTACAGCCTACCCTTCAATTTTGGCCTAAGTCTAACACGGTAACCAACTAAACAACTTGGTTCACATGAATCGCATAACTGGTTCAGAAATCAGCAAACACCACCCAGAGTTCTCTATAAATATCTAGAAAGGTGCTTTAGTTTTTCTTAAACATTTAAGGCTTGTTTCGTCATGACCGCAGTAGGCAGGCAGGTTTGATAGTCTACGGCTGGTGTTCGGTTCAGTGTGTTGAAGTGTATAAGTGGATTGCCTACCTCTTCCCAACGGCTTAAGCTTTTGGGTTCATCTGGTTAGTGCAGTCCACTGTAACATGGTATCAAAGCCAGAGGTTTCGAGTTCGAGTCCTGGCAAAGGCTTCATTTCTACCTCCGCTGCGCCTTCATCTCTGGCTGCATGTGGGCTCACGTTTGCGCCTTCGTCTCTTGCTGCACGTGAGTGGGGGTGTTGAAGTGTATAAGTGGATTGCCTACTTCTTCCCGATGGCTTAAGCTTTTGGGTTCATCTTGTTAGTGCAGTCCACTAACACAGTGCAAGACATGGCAAGCCAAATTTTTTTCTTTATTAGGGATAACTGTCAGACTCAGTTTGTTGTCAAATGTTACCTCAAAAAAAAAAGTTTGTTGTCAAATGTGGCCAACAGTTTTTATAAGCAATTTGTTCACAACCAAAACTGTGACCATGTCAACCTTTGCACAAACATGTGGCAAAGTGTGAAAGCAACCAAAAAGGGCCTTAACAGTGTAAAGTTATTTTTTTCTTGTCCATGTCATCCTTGAGCAGAGGCCATGCTAATCTCCTCTGGAACTTTTCAACTTTATCGGATGTCTCGGAAAATACAACAATGTAAAGATTAAGAACGAGAACCATTTGACTCAAAACAGTTTTTCCCCAGCAATCTCAGCCATTGCATGTGGCCAAGGCATTTTTCTCCCAAGCAATGTTATCAAGTTGTCTAGTCAATCCTAGTCACCATGGCACTGACTAGGTGACTAGTCATGATTAGTTGTCGACCAGAGAGATAAGTCGGCACAGTGCTACATTACCAAACCACAAGACAGCATCCACCAGCTGCAGTACATATACACATCAGTAAATGGCAAACATGTAGAGCAAAGAGGGACTGCTAGTCTGCTACACTGCTGCAGTAGTCAAGAATCAGGAACAAGATCTCAAGGAAATGGAGGAATGGAGAAAGCACCATCGGAGAAGGAGCTCATCTTCGCAGATGAAGTGGCAGTGGCAGCAGCTGGGATGGGAAGGGAGGCGGCGGTCAGTTCCTTGCAGTGATAGCTTCCGCGACTTTCCTCCACCCGCCTGCACAAGGTCTCCCTGTGGCCTGTACAGTCGTTCTGGCTGCAAGGACTAGGATTGCGAGAAGGCAACGGCAGGAAGGCAAGGGAAGAATGTGGCGCTGTCCAGCAGAGCAGCTTCTCCCGTCCGCATGGCGGGATCTCGCCTGCGCCGCCGCTGCTGGCGGCTGGGAGAGAGTGAGATGCGAGAAACAGAGAGACTGAGAGGGTGAGACTGAGGGTGAGGATTCAGGTGTTGGCTGCATGTAGGGTTTCAAATTGGGCTGAAGACAGTAAGCCCAATTGGCCCAAACCATACCAGATGCAGCCCACATCATCAGCTGCCCAACAATCCCTTTATGTTTTTGGTCATCCACCCCCTAGTCGTCCGATTAATCGTGATTAGTCAATGACTAATCGGACGACCAAAAAACTAATCAGCCTACTCGGGTCATAGCAACTAGTCCAAGGAAGCAATTAGGATGACTAATCGTGATTAATCGGACGACTTGACAACACTGCTGCCAAGCACAAGGTTGGCGATCTAGTTTATGAATTGGTAGTCACTTCAACATTTTTGCTTGGCGATCTAGTTTACAAATTGATAGTCACTTCAACATTTTTGTAATGGTCTGCATGCTCCAAGATGTCAGAGGTCTGGAGTGGTTTCAAGACATTTTATCAACTCAATGTAAAGGTCACCACTAAAAAGACAATAAGAGAATTTTCACCCAACCCCCCCCCCCCTCCACCAGAACCACCACACACACTCAATTGGCCCGCCTGCAACCAATGCTTGCGCGCTGACATGTGGCCCCCGGCTTTGATGCCGCCACCCGCCGCAAGTGGCTCCACACTTAACCATCCAAGCCTCTGCCCCCTAGGAACGCATACGTCAACCCGCCCCACTGCAGAACTTGCCTTCAGCTTCATCTCTACGGCAAGAGGGAAAGATGCTCAGCCCTATGCCCTGGCTTCTCCCCTTGCCGGTCAGCCCCCTACCAAGGTTTCATTCCAAATGAGCAACCTTGGTCTTCTGCGCCAAGGCGACGATGGCATCACGCTGCAGCAAGGCACTAAGCCGAGCACATCCTTGAGCTGGCGAGCATGGCGGCTGCTACAATCCCATGAAGGAGCAGCTCAAGCTGAGCCGAGAAAGCACGGCAGAGGCTGTGGACCCGATGCACTGCCGACGGATCATCAAAAGCCTCCGCTATCTTGTCCACACCTAGCTAGTACTGGCGTTTACTGTCGGGTTCATGAGCAGGTTCATGGAGAAGCCCATGGAGGAGCATCTCTAGGCGGTAAAGCGCATCATGTGCTACGTCGCGAAGGCACTTGGGCGAGTCAAGTTCCATGAGCTGAGCGCAAGGATTGGACTGGTCTAAATCAGTCCAACAAATCCAAATCTGATGTGCAAGGATTATGGGGAGAACTGTGTTAGTCTTTTGCTTAGCTAATAGAGTCAAAATAGGTCTCGTCAGCTGACCCTTGGTCAGCAAGTTTCCTTAGCTTGGTCAATAAGCTTTCTTGGCTTGCAAGCAGTATGGGTGTGTTTGGTTGCGTTTCTCCAGCAAGCCTGGCTAGGAAAATAAGCCATGCTTGAGTTAGCCAGTCCAAGTCAATGCAATCTAGCGGGGTTTGGTTGTCATGTGCTAGCTAAGCCTGGGTAAGTTAGTTTTTGTTTGGTTGCCTGTATTATTTGGTACTGCTACCTCTTCTCCACAGTGGTGACCTTACCTCCATCACCGTCTCGTTTAACTCGTTGCTGACAAGGGATGGGGCTGATTCCGGCCGACCAGCCGCGGCAGCAGCGAGAGCTGGGGCCGCTACAGCTGCGCGGCAGCTGGCTGCGCCCGCAGGCAGCCTCAGCCCAGCCGGAGGGAGCCCATGGCTTCTTGTCCACGCGAGCCCGCGGCGGCCACAGAGCTGTGCCGGAGGCAGCGCAGATGCAGTGGCCTACCGAGCCAGATGCAGAGGCGGCTGGTGCGCGCATGTATGGGAGATCTAGCGGCGTGGTCAGTGGAGGAGGGAGGGTGGCGCGGAGGAGGAAGAACAGCGGCGGCAGAGGGCGTGCTCGGGCAGCGGCCATGGCTGCTGCTCCGCGCGAGCAGTAGAGAGAGGAAGGGGAGCAGCCGAGAGAGCGGAGAGGGAGCAGCAGCGTTAGGCAGCGCGAGGTGCCCACCGACGAGGCCGCGAAGGAGGAGGACCAGATGTGGAGCGGCGCGATTCGCCCACCACCGATTCGTCCTTCACCGATTCGCCGACCTCCGATTCGCCCTTCACCGATTCGCCCACCACCGGTTCGCGCTTCACCGATTTGCCTACCACGGACATGCTCGTGGGCTGGCACATGGTGCCCACCGACGAGGCCGCGCGCCTAGCTGAGGAGCACGGCATCTTCTTCTCGGAGGTGTCCGCGCTCACGGGCGACAACTTCGAGCGCGCCTTCCTCACGCTCCTGGGGAGTTCTTCGCTGTCGTGCCCAGGGCGCTAGAGCTCAACGAGGTCCGGCGGATGCACGGCAACCAGGGCGATGGAGGCGGATGCGGCGGTGAGGTGCTATCGCTCAGGCAACGGGAGGTGACACGAACGGGTGCGACCGCTAGCCGGGGCCTGGCTACGCAGAAATGACCAATCCCTGCGTTTCCAGCTAGCCAGGCTAAGACCCCTTCGGTAGCTTGGTGTGCCTGGCTAGGGCGTTTCTCCAGCTAACCAAACAGGAGTTGGCTCTAGGAAGCCTGGCTAGAGGGACAGCCAGGGAACCAAACACACCCTATAAGTCTTAGACTGCAAGTCAAGGTCTTTTCTTAGGTTGTAAGAAAGCCACTAGGGCTGTTTTCTGTACTCTCTTTCAGCTATATATAAAAGGTAAAAGCACCAGCAAGCTGCAGCTCATAGCATCCCAGAAAAGCCTCCATCATGTCATTCAAAGTGAGGTGCAGCAGCAGCAACAAGCTGCTGCATATTAACACTATCTATCCTAATAGTGAAGGCAGAAGAGGCCTTCTTCTGTGCGAGGAAGGCACTACCCTAGCTCTCCCATGGCTACTGACGTGACCTCAGTTTCTTGCTTCTGCTTTCATCAAGCCTACAAGATTCGTGAATTTATTTATCATCAGTTTGGGGTCTTTGGAGTGGGAAATGTGTTTTTTTCCTTCATCAATTCATAGCGATGCACATTGACTTATGGTCTGAATGATACGCTGTACCTAAATTGGTCCTGTTCGCTTATGCTGAAATTTGGCTTATGCTGATGCTTATGCTGAAATATTGTGAGAGAAAAACACTATTCCATGGCTGAAAAGTAGCTCAAGCGAACATATTCTCCCTAAATTGCTTACACGCCTTTTAGGTGACTGGAGGAATTGTTGTGCTGGCACTGAACCACTGATAAAAACTGAAGCTTCTTGTGCAAACTTTGATCTTCTAGCGGTCCTAAAAAAAGGTACCTTCAGGCCCTGATTGGAAGATTTGTATAATTTCTCACATGTACGGAGCTTACACCTGTATTTCTCTGTGCACAAAAAAACCATTTGAAATTTTTACCCGGGTGAAATGTTGTTTGGATAATCATATAAATTAACCAGCCATGGATGGAAGCATGCAAGCAC